AACAGAATAACAGAGTTGGAAGGGATCATAGAGGACATCTAGTCCATCCCCTGCTCAAGGAGGAAACCCTATACCACCTGAGACAAAGGTTTGTTCAGCCCATTTCTCTGCTTGACTTGATGCCATGCTTGACTCAAACAATTCCTCTTTGAAGCCTGGAGAGCACTCATGGACAAGTCCATCAGCTAGGAGTTGTGAAGGGTTTGTCTCCCTCAACACAAATCTCATGGGCTGACAAAGGAGGTTCTCCCCAAATTAGCTGCCTAGCTTGCACAACACTCCCTTTGACAGGAACTGAACCCATAGCAAGACCATCATTTCTCTTCTTTCAAGCTTTCTAGATCCCAGTGTGGGGATGGCTGCAGTCACTTGAGATTCAGAGAGCCATAAGGCTGCTTGGGGAAAAAAAAACCCACAAAGGAAGTTCCTAAAAGGTGCTTTAACCATCTTTAACACAAAACAAAGCGTTAGAAGAGAAATCTGGAAGACTTCAACATTCATTTCAGTTTAATTCCTTCTTCACATGGAACAGACTCCCAAAAGATGTCTACTTCGTGCCCCATGCCATTGGTTGCTGCCTACACAGGAACAAGGGAACATCTACTTTTAATGGAATATTCACGTATTTAGTCATTTAAGAAAAAGAGCATGTTTTGAGAAGACGATTCAGTCCAGAAAGAGAAAATTAGCTGGTCTTCTCCTCTCCATGACCACCTGGAGGAGCTCTTCCATTAGCCTTCTAAACTTTAATAAAGACTTAAAATCTTTTCAGAGCTAGCTCTAAGATTACTGCAATCCAGAAGGATCATCAAAGTCCCCTGAAGCCCAAAGTCTTAAACCAGAACACTGAACTTAGGAACACTATTTATTTTTTCCACACTCCACCTGAGTTCAAATGAGCTGATACACCCATCTATACCACAGGATTGTGCATGGCTAATCCTGAAACAGCTAAGCGGGGTCAGAGCTGGTCAAAGCTTGAATGGGGTACTATCAAGGATTCTCTTCTGAGTAGCCCAGGATCACAGCATCTCTGTCATAGTTCCAGAGAAGGAAATTTTGAAGCATTTCCTGTCTGGCAGAACTACTCTGTGGAAGACATGGACCAATGAGAAGTCAGGAAAGCAGGAGGAGGAGCCAGGCATGCAAACAGACCCACCAACAAGGGGGCTTGATCTAAACAGCCCCCCAATAAAGTTCACTTGCGTCAACACACCAGCTCAATCTCCAGAAGGCCAGAAGCCCTCAACATGTTGGCTGCATCTCTGATCATCATTTTGGGGATCTGGTGCACAGGTGAGCGAAGGACCACCCAATAGGAGCATCTTCCCCAAATAATGTGAGCAAGAACACAAACTTTGGGAACTGCCCTTTCGCCAGGATCCGGTTCTCAGCGTAGAGTGACTGAGGAATCCTCCATGTCATCTTCCCTTCTCTTCCTTTTCTCATTTCAGGAACCAACTCACAGTACACCTTGACTCAGCCTGCGGCACAATCTTTTCCCCTGGGACAACCGGCAAAGATCCCATGTGCCATGAGCCGAGACAGCCAAGTGAGCAGCTATACCATACATTGGTACCAACAGAAGGCTGGAGAGAGTCCCAAATACCTTCTTTATAATGACAACAGCAATGGCCGGTTCATGGGGTCCAAGGACACCTCAGCCAATGCAGCCTATTTAACCGTTACAAACCTCCAGGCTGAAGATGAGGCTGTTTACTATTGTGGTGGTGGATACAGCAGTGGCAGCAACTGGAGGTATCACAGTGATACAATCACATGCAGAAGTGAGACAAAAACTCCCCCCTCAGCTGGCTTCTGCCTTCAACCTACCATCTACCTGGCCTTCTACACTTAGATGCACTGACGGCAGTGTTATCATCTCAACCGTGGTAAACTGAAAAACCTTGATTTTGCCACAAATATGTTGTTTTCAAGTATGGTTTTCAGCATGCCCTCCCATCTCTCTGCTTCCAAAACGACCTCCATAAACCGGCTAATTTATCTTAAACAGGAGCCTTGCCAGTAAAGAAACTGATTACTGTTATGAAACAAATCCTAATGCTATCTGTCATGCATGCAAATAAAAATACCTATTTCCAGCTTCATATTCTGTAAAAAGAATCTCTAAAAAGCCACTCTACCTGACTTCACATCTTCTCCATGGGTGGAGACCCTGTGGAGCAAAATACGATGGTAAATCCAGTCCCTTGAAACAACGTTAATATAAGGCTGACGGGTTCTGCTGTCCTTAGAGAATGGCTTGGGGTTTTCCTGTGGTTTGGGCTTCAAACGTTCAGCTTCAGAAGTTATGTGGTTTCACAGAAGTAGATGCTTAGGAAAATCCCACAGATCTCTGGAGACTTCACCGATAGTTCATAATTTCATAGTACGGCTTTGCGGTTGTTTCCTGATCCTGTCATTGTCTCCAAAGGTCTGCCCTGTAATGACAGTTTTCAAACTATTTAATATGTTAATTGCAATATTGGAAGCTGTATTGTATGTGGACAAGTTGGTAGGTTGATAGGAAAGAGAGAGAGAGAGAGATGATAGATAGATGATAGATAGATAGATAGAGATAGATAGATAGACAGACAGATATAGAAGATAGATAGATAGATAGATAGATAGATAGATAGATAGATAGATAGATAGATAGATAGAGAGACAGATAGAGAGACAGATAGAGAGACAGATAGAGAGACAGATAGACACAGATATAGATGATAGATGGATAGAGATAGATAGATAGATAGATAGATAGATAGATAGATAGATAGATAGATAGATAGATAGATAGATAGAAAGAAAGAATTGTAGGCAGCAATACATACAGTCTTCATTATATTAAATCATATCCCTCAAATCTATAAAAAATAAAGGATGGATTTTAACCGGCCCATACCCAGGACATGTCACATTTTATTGGTATGTCATTCCCTGAAGAATTTGGCCCTCCTACTCAATTTTTTGCAATTAAAAAAAATGAGAAAACAGATCTTTGTTATTATTGAATATTGTCCAGGTTACCAAAATGTATTCAGTTGTACACCTCATTTTATAGCACACACCTGCACAGGGCTCCCAAGAAATCCATCCTTCGCTTAAGAATACAAGAATATCCATTATTTTTTTTTTAAAAAATGTATTGTTAAGGTGGCAAGATGGGCTATATATACATTCGCCAATGTTTACGTCACTTCCTTTCCAGTCTGGCCTATATATAGTCACAAATGTCGATTTGATGAGTTTTTTCTTTTAAGAAGATCTTTTCTTTTGTTTTTGTTTTTTCTTCTGCTCACCAAAAGGTGTTTATTCCCCAGTGACCATTTTTAGCATCTGGGTAGCACTTCTGTTTTTCTGCTTAAGTGACTTGTGAAGCATCAGGAATGGTTAGTAACAGCCTTCAAGTCTGCTGGCCGTCTTGTGCCTTTTTTAAACTCCTCTGTTTCATTTGAAGGAGGAAGATGGAAAACTAAAGTGTCCATGGAATTTCTTTGGGTCTGCTGCCACCTTCAGTATCTGTCCAGAGCAGGGGGGGGGGGAAAGCACCCATTTGCAAGTGTTTGACTGAAAATGAAAGTTGGAAATTTAAGATGAGCACGCAATACCATTCAGAATCATCAGAGGGGGATGTGAGCCAAGCCTTGAGCATAAGTGCTTGCTGTTCTATATCCAGATAAGAAAAAGAAGGACGAGGGGAGACACGATAACAGTGTTCCAATATTTGAGAGGCTGCCACAAAGAAGAGGGAGTCAAGCTATTCTTCAAAGCACCTGAAGGCAGGATAAGAAGCAATGGATGGAAACACAGGAAGTATTAGTACCACTTTACAATGCCTTGGTAAGGCCACACTTGGAATACTGCATCCAGTTTTGGTCACTACGATGTAAAAAAGATGTTGAGACTCTAGAAAGAGTGCAGAGAAGAGCAACAAAGATGATCAGGGGACTGGAGGCTAAAACATCTGAAGAAGGGTTGTAGGAATTGGGTATGTTTACTTTAATGAAAAGAAGGACTAGGGGTGACATGATAGCAGTGTTCCAATATCTGAGGGGCTGCCCCAAAGAAGAAGGGGTCAACCTATTCTCCAAAGCCCCTGAAGGCAGGACAAGAAGCAATGGACAGAAAGTAATCAAGGAAGAATCAGCCTAGAAATAAGGAGAAATTTCCTGACAGTGAGAACAATTAATCGGTGGAATGGCTGGTCTTCAGAAGTTGTGGGTGCTCCATCACTGGAAGCTTTTAAGAAGGGACTGGACAACCATTTGTCTGAAATAGTATAGGCTTTCCTACTTGAGCAGGAAGATCTTCAAGGTCCCTTCCAATTCTGTTATTAATGCAGGAACCAGCACAGAATATCCCTCATCTTCATTAAAGCATCCCACATTTTTTTCCAGCTTCTAAAGTCTAAAAAATAGATGCTTGAACTTTAAGAAGTCAGTTTGCTAAAGTTAAAGCATGGGACAGCTTTTTCAGGCATGCACACTGGCTGAGGAATTCTGGGAGTTGAAGTCCACAAGTCATAACAGGGCCAAGTTTGAAGACCCCTGTTATAGATCTCACGAGAGAGAGAGAGAGAGAGAGAGAGAGAGAGAGAGAGAGAGAGAGAGAGAGAGAGAGAGAGAGAGAGAGAGAGAGAGAGAGAGAGAGAGATGTTGAAGCTGAAGCTCAAATCCTTTGGCCATCTAATGAGAAGAGAGAACCCTTTGGAAAAGACCTGGATGTGGGAGAGATGGACAGCAAAAGGAGAAAGGAATGGGGAAAGATGAGACAGTTCGATAGTGTTATTGACCCAATGAACATGAATTGAGAGAGAAGCCAGGGTGACAAGCATCCAGCCAAATTAGAGTGAGAAGCATTCGACGTAAATATCTCAGGAACTATTTAAGTAGCACCTCATTAACATGAAGGAGGAGCTTTCCTGCTCCACCAAAACGAGCAAGAAGGGTATAAAAGATGAGAAGACACAATTTCATCTCCATGGTGGATCTATTTATTCTTCTTCTGAGCCACCAAACTTCATCACTATGTTCTGGGCTCTTTGTCTTAGTATCTTGGTGGTGTGGTCCAAAGGTGAGATCATGTTATATGGAATTGCTTTCAAATAGCTGTAACTCGTGAACTAAAAGTGTGTAAAGCTTTTGTTTTGTTTTCCTCTAGGATCAACCTCACAGAGTGTAGTGTCTCAGCCTCCATCAGCCTCAGTGTCCCCAGGAAACACGGTGAAACTGCCCTGCATCTTGGCCAGTGGGGTCAACGTTGGCAGCTACAGGATATACTGGGTCCAGCAGAAGCTTCCAAGTTCTCCACGTTTTCTCTTACACTACCACACAGATTCAGACAAGGGTCAAGGCTCTGGGATTTCTTCTCGATTCTCCGGTTCCAAAGATTCCTCCACAAATAGCGGTTTTTTTAACCATTTCTGGAGTTATGAGCGAAGATGAGGCTGATTATTATTGTGCCACCTGGCACAGCAACACATTTCACAGTGATGCCTTCTGATGGAGAAGTGAGACAAAAACCGTCCTTCCCATTTCTACAGCATGTTGCTTCTCTCTCCTTGAGGTTTTTTTTTTTTCCCCCCCAGCGGCAGAGCAACCTCTAGCAACTCAAAAAGTTTTTTTCTATTCAATTTTCTAATTTTAATTAAGTTCTAGCACTTTCTCACATTTTATCACCGGGCTGCCCAGAATCGTCGTTATCAGTGAGATGGGTGGCATAGAAATTTAATAAATAAATAAAATAACAGAATTGGAATTGGAAGTCTTCTAGTCCAACCCTCTACTCAGGCAGGAAACACTAGACCATTTCAGACAAATGGCTGTCCAGTCTTTTCTTTAAAAACTTCCAGTGTTGGAACATTCACAATTTCTGGAGGCAGGTAGTTCCATTGATTAATTGTTCTGTCAGGAAATTCCTCCTTAGTTCTAGGTTGCTTCTCTCCTTGATTAGTTTCCATCTGTTGCTTCTTGTCTTGCCTTCTGGTGGCTTGGAGAATAGGTTGATCCCCCTCTTCTTTGTGGCAGTTCCTTAGATATTGGAACAACTATTAAATTAATGGTTCATCATCACAGCCCCCAGAAATCCCTTGGACACCTCACAACCTTGTGATAGCTATCCTCCACCCGACTAGTTTTGAACAACATGAGAGGTCCCTGGTGCCTTCTGGGCTTGGTGGTTTTCTTGAAGATGTTCCATTACCCAAACTAGGTAACATGATCAATGCTTGTGGAGGGGAAACCCTAACACTGATTATGTTACCTAGTTTGGGTAATGAAACATCTTCAAGAAAAACACCAAGCTCAGAGAGCATCAAGGATCCCCTCATTTCAACCTTGAGCTATAAATATTCTACAAGTGGTCATTGTTATTCATTGGATCGTGTTTCAGTCTCAGCATAGATAAGGAAAACGTAAAGATAACTACTTTACACATTTTGCAAACTTCTGTGGGTCATTTTGCCCTCACAGATAATGAAAACACCCACAAACACACGAAATCCAGAAGTCCAACTTGCAAAAAACAAGCAAACCATGGATAAAGAAGAAGATGTTTGGCACCATAGATAAGTTAAACCTTCATTCCTTCATTCTCTAACCTCTTTGAAGTCCGTTTATTTATTTCTTGGACTTGCATTCCCTCGCAATCAAAAGAGACTGTCCAGAACTCATATACAATAGAAGCATAATCAACTGCCCACGGGAATTAGGCAGTATATAAATTTAACAAATCATTATAGAAAAAAATAAAACGCTTAATAAAGCAAAATGCCACAGCAATAATGCATTCAATCCAACTCACTCCGATACAGAATTCTTTATTTAAAAAACTAATAGGGAGAAAGTAATCAGATTGCCTTGCATGTCATCACAAGTGTTGATTTGATGAGTTTTTCTTTTAAGAAGATCTTTTATTTTCTTTTTCTTCTTCTAACTAAAAATGTGTTTATTTCCCAGTGACCATTTTGAGCATCTGGAAAGCCGAAGACATTTTCATTTCTGTTTTTCTTCTCAAGTGACTTGTGAGCATCAGGAATGCTTAGTAACAGCCTTCACATCTGAGCTCGGCTGGCAGTCGTGACCTTTTGTATCCTGTATTTTATTTGGAGGAAGAAGCTGGAGAAACAAGGAGCCTTTTGGCATCTCTTTGGTTCTGCTGCCATCTTCAGGATTTCTCCAGACTGAGATGGTTGCAACAAAGAGAGCTGAAATTTTAAAATTCACATGCAACATTATTCAGTACCATCGGAGGGGGATGTGACCTAAGTCATCAGCATCCCCCCCCCCTTGTATTTTGATACCCAGATTATGACTGAAAAACAACTGAAAAGCCAGATCTTGCCAGCAGATGGTGAAATAGATCAAGAAGATACCAACTCAAGATGTTCAGTGCCCAAAAAACTGCTGGAATTACCAAGTCTGACATTTGTACTTCTATAACTATCTGGTTTGATACAGCCCCTAAACAGTTCAGGGTTTTTCACATTAGTTTAACATTAATCATCAAAGCCTCATTTTGAAGAGAAACCAATCAACGTTTTGAAATCGAATCATAATCCAAATCTAATCGCTGGTATTTCCATATTATGGAAGCTTTTGTGTGATGTTCAGGTGCGAACTGTGTTTATTTATTTGTTTTTAACAATTTACTGAAATTTGCACAATTCTTTTTGCTGAAGTGTGCTGTGTTGTCCTTCTGGAACTGCTGTTGTTCCAGAGAATGCAATATATCCAATATATTAATATAGAACATCGTAATCAAATAGTTGTACATATTAGCCAATATAATCAGATCAAGCTGAATTGACTGGTCTTCCATCAAATGAGTAAATTAGCAAAAAAAAAAAGAGAGAGATCCTCTTTGGACATTCCTATATTGTAAAAACGATGGAACTAGAAGTCTAACTAGACTTTTCTTACTAGAAGTAACTGTGCTACTATGGAAATACTCTTAACTTCCAGTCCTGAGCAGAGCTTTGGATTGATGGCTTACAAGTCTTTTCCAGTTTTGGTTTTAACAATGAATGTTGAATTCTAAGAAAATCTGTTTCAGCGTGTGTGGTGCTCTGATAACGACCGCAAATTCTCTACCTTTCCAGCCACGAACAGTGTACGTCACTGACAGATGTTTGGGCCATGGAGAACCTCACCCCTTCTCCACCTGAGGAGGCTGATGGACAGAAAATGCAAAGTCACGTGGTAAGAAAAACGGTTCTTTGTGGTTTCCGAAAATGCCAGATGCATCTGATGAACGTTTGTTGTTGAAGGTTACCAGATGCCTTCAGAAGTGGAGAAGGGAGTACTCAAGCTTTGTGCATATGAACTGGGCTTGATGTGGATTACATTGATCACGTATCTTTCTCTTCCTCCTGTGTTGGTTTCCATGGAAATCTTGTGGATCTTCTGGCTGGCCAGGAAATGGGATCGCTTGGCCATATGGATGCCATTTTGAATAGCTCTTCTCTAATGGATATCTTAGTGGTGATAGGAATGCAAACAGGAAAGCCTCTCTCTTTTTTAAGCCATTATTTTTAGGCTGCAGGTACCACTCGATGCCTTTCAGGTAAAGATAAATTGATGATTTAATTGGATTTACAACAAAAGATCACACAACACTCCTGCTTAGGAGCCTACATTTATAATTGTAGGTGGATTTTGGTTTCTTTCTGTTTCTATCCCTCAGATTGACCATTTTCTGTGGCCACTAAATATGCCTTCATATTTAAAGCAGTTTCAGGGCCATTTTCTTTCTTTACTTCTTCTTCCCTAAAGATTCATCATACTTCTGGATATATTCGGCCTCCCTTGATCTTTCCAAAACCTCTTATTTATGGATAATGTTATTTTGAAAATAAAAGAACCTGCCTTTGGAAAATGGAGAAGAACAAAGCTAAATGGATTATAATTTTCCCAGAGAGCAAGACCTGTTCTAGAAAAACTGTCTTCCTGCCTCAAAAGAGAATTGCATTGTGGTTTCGGATTAATGCACAGGAATCTATCCAACATCCACTATTTATAAGAAAAAGTTTTCATTTGTAAGTTCCACTGGACGAAATGGATGAGTTTTATTTCACCGTCTTCTTCTTCTCTGCCTCCACCATTAATTTGTCAAAGATGCTACAAAGAAATCCCTTCTTTGGGATTTGGAGTAGTTCTGGATTTGGAGTAGTTCTGGATGATCCAAGACAGGTCTGGTTCCGGGATGAAAGCACCTTAATTCTTCTGATTCAAAACATCAAAGAAAGTTCACTGTGGACCTGGAATTCAGGTAGGAAGGGAAATTGCTTCCCCATGGCTTTAATCTCTCTTTAGTTATGTTATGCCTAATTGTCACAATCTAAATTATTCACATGTGAGGGATTTAAGAAAGCAGTGATGTCATTTTATTTCTAAAATCAGTTATTATTAAGCAAATATTTGAGAATGGAAGAGCAATGTCAATGATGGGTTGAAGAGAGTGTGGAATTCATGGACATTCATGGGAATAGATTATTATATAGTATTGTTGCGTGGCCATTACTTGATGTGAATGACAGCGATAGGTAAGTCTCTTTAAAATACCGATACAATTGTTTTCCAACTGTTTCTGGATTGGATGATGATATGATGAAGGTGTTATCCATTCAGTCATGTCCAACTCTTACTAATTCTATGGGCCGGGGCTCTCCACATCTTCCAACCTTGTGCTACTTAGCGTTGTATAAAGAACTCTCAAACAGATGAACTAATGTAACCAAGCATCTGAGAATGGGAGAGAAAATGTTTGATGATGGAATTTCTCTGAGAATGGGAGAGAAAATGTTTGAGGATGGGTTGAAAAGAATGTGGAATTTCATGGAAATATTTTGAGCAGAGTGTTCCTTCTCTTTGCGGGATTAGCTTAGTGGGAAAAATTGCAAAGAACTTCCATAGAATATGCGATCCAGCTTGACTGCTCGTTCAAAAAAAGAAATTTGGAAATACGATTGTGTTTGCCAAGTGAGTAAATTTTTGGAAAGCGAATTATGACTTTGAAAAAAGAACTTAGTAGAAGCAAGGGTGGTCCAACTCAAAACGGCAAAGCCACACAACTTGATGGAGTTAGCAGAGATGGCTAAATTGACTGCTTTGATTAAAGAAAAGAACACAATTACTTTTGTTTTTATTTGGAAACCCCTTCTGGTCTTTTTTCTTGAGGTGGAAAAAAAATAAAACTTTGATTTTAGTTTTTGCTGATTAGATAGGTGCGTTGTTATAAAAATGGCTAGTTTATATTATTATATAAAAATTAAAAAATGAGGTTTGATGCTATTATCTTATTCTACTGCACCAAAAGGAATTGGAAGTCAATGCTTTTCTCTCTCTCTCTCTCTCTCTCTCTCTCTCTCTCTCTCTTGCCCTACGTTTTCTCTTCCCTTTTTCCTCCCTTATTTTCCCATTATTTTCTTTTGTATTTTGTATTTATATTATATTTTGATAAACTAATAAAAAAATGAACTAAAAAA